GTGCATTTACGCCTTTATTTGTGCGTGCATTTACGCCTTTATTTGTGCGTGCATTTACGCCTTTATTTGTGCGTGCATTTATGCCTTTATTTATGCATGCACTGATTTACTTTTTTCATGTTGATGCGTGCATAGGGGAAAAACTTGCGCCAGTTAATTTTCCCCCTTTTGTGTTGTCCCTACGCTTAATATGTGTTTGTTCTTTACACCATTGCACCACTCGTATGAGGTGATTTTTTTTTTTTTTTTTTTCCTGCGGCGGTGCTCGTAGGGCCCGCTGGACAGTTGGCAGCCACACACGGAGGTGAATCAAATTCAAAAGGAATAATTTATAAAGTTGTATATGTAATAAAACAGTGTAAAGGTTAAGATGGAGGTGGTAACGAAAAATAGGCCATAAAAAATTAAAAGAAAAAAAAAAACTTCATCAAAACTGAAGTAAGAGAATACAAAGGAAATATTTTTAAATAATGTTTTATATTTCAAATAAATTCTCTTACTCATTGTAAAGTTGAGATAAATATTTAACCAATAAGTGAAGGTGTTGTAAATGTGAAAACAAAAGAGCAAATTTATATACGTAGTTATGTAGAAAATTATTTTTTTTAAAGTTTTATTGCGTGTGCGCAAAAAGTAAATATAACTTAACAGTACGCTGATTATTATAATGGTAAAGGTGTTAATAACGATGTTGTATATTTGATTTACTTGAATTTCAATGATGTAATGGAAAAGGAAGAATATATAGTACATGACAAATAGCAAATTTACAAAAAGCTTGGTTTTGTTTTTTCTGTTTAACATTTTTTTCGCCTTTTGGTCATCATTTTTCAATTTTTTTTTTTTCACACTCTGATTATGACTATTATTATTATGGTTATTATTGTTTTCGGAAATTCCAAAATGGTCTTTGAAAAAGGATTTCTCATCAAGATGTGTCTTCTCAGAATCGCTGTAAATTTTCTGGTTTATTTCTATACTCACTTTTTTCCTAATTTTATACTCATTCACGGAACGCTCCCTTGGGTGATTGTCGAGGCAGGTGAGGTTGCTTGGGACGCTGTGACGGTTCGGGTTTAAATTTTGGCTTATGTTGGAATTCATATTATTGCTGACTTGGCCATTACTCACACTGTTACCTCTTTTGTTGCCGCTCCGGTCGTTATTCTTTTTACCCTTGGGGGCATAATCGGGAATGGAACCAGGCGTCGCATTTTCTTGGTGAGATGACAGACCCTGTGGGACTTCGCTGCAAGGGGCAGTATTTCCCTTTTTTGCCTTTTTCTGGGGAGCCGCCTTCTCGGGCGTCTTTTTTTCCTTCGCCTCCTTTTTGCTGCCCTGGTCTACCTCCTCCTTTTCATTTTTTCTTTTGCACAAATTGTTATTTTTATATTTTTCAAATACTTTGTCATAGTTTCCGTATAGCTTATCCATTTAACTTTTTTTTTTTCCAAATTTGGGCTGCTGTCTATTTTGCACGTTAGGTTCGGTTCCACTGTGTTCAGAGGTCACCACTGTCGCGGGTGATAACGCTATGTGCGCCGACCCACTTTATGGTGATCGTCGTTTTGGGGGGAAAATCGCACTGGTGACTGACTTCGTCGCTGTTATCTCGCCAGTTCGCACGATTTCCCGTTTTTCATTTCAGGACGATGTAGAGGGAGAAAAAGAAAAGCACAGAAACATCCAGGGCAATTTTTTCCACTGCGAAAAACTTTAACGCATGCATGGGGGAGGTTATAGCCAGTCTAATGGAGTGCACCATGCGGGGGTTGCTTTCGAGTTGAAAAATATTAAACACGAAACGGCCGCATGTGCACATACATGTGTATGTGCGTCTATTCACACAGAGCTGCATGGCAGCGCATGGGTCTGTGCACAGATGAACCTTTCTACACTTGCTGCGATAACGTTTTTAACAAAAAACAAAACGTTATGCGAAGGAAACGCACAAGGTGTTAATCAAAAAAGGGAAACAGAATTGTAAAAAGGAAAACGAAAAAATAATATGAAACGTGACCACTTAAAAAAATATATTCGTACACGCTTCATTACGAGGCATAATCACGGACATATTTCTTCTTCACTTGTGAAGCTTGTCTTTTTTTTTTTTCTTTATCTCTCTTTTTCTCAGTTTGCATCTTCGCTTATTTCAGGAATACAGACGCCCTGCGGAGAGAAAAAAAAAAAAAAAAAAAAAAAAAATTATCAATGGAGAGAAAAACGATCACGACGCACATAGACATGCGTAGAGATACACATGTACCCATGATTTTTGTGCAAATATAAATAATAATAAATGAGTAAAATGAATTGCGAATGTTGCTTTTTTTCTTCTTCTTTTCTTCCATTTTGCGCGCTTATTTTGGCCACTTTTTCGTTTACTCGCATTCTGCTCTTACCCCTGCCTTAGACTTCCACAAATTTTTCCTCACGTTTTGCAAATCCGCTTTGGGGTCAGGCTTATTTGGCCTTGCTTCTCTAATGGGACCAGCTTCCTCACCAGATGAGCTTTCATATCTACGGGTTAAAAATTGCGAAGCGAGTATTAAGAATATGAAGCGGCAGACATGGGAAAAGCTTTAAGGCGCCATGTCTTTCTGCTGATCGAAAGGTAGACTCATTCAAGGGGGCTTGCTTTACCTGTCGTGCCTCCACCTATCGCTCGTGATCGATCCATCATCGCTAATTTTCCTGCCGCAAGGGGCAAAAAGGACAAAAAAAAAAAAAAAAAAAAAAAAATGTATGCGCTGTGGGGTGTTACAATTTGTACGCATCCATTAGTGCAAAACTGACGTGCACTATTTTTAACATTTTTAATATATTTCTTATTTTGTCTTACCTGTGTCTATGATTCTTCTTCTTTTCGTACGCAAGGAGCAGGGGATTGAAGGGGTCCTTGGGAATGGGTTCATCGTAAGAGCTACGAGGGAGTGAAAAGCATACGGGAGGAAAATGAACACATGGTATCACTACCGTGCGTCACGATAAATCACGTGTCGGCACATTGCGTCGCATTACACCTCCTCTCTTGTTATATACCATGTCATGCGGGCTTCATTATTGAGAGATTCCTTGAACAACACAGTGGCACCTTTTTCTTTTTTTATTCAACAAAGCTTTATTGTTGACACATGAAGCACTCACCTGTTTGTCCTCGATCTGGACCTTTTGTGTTTTTTTTTCCTGTCCGCGTCCTTTTGCTTCCTGTGCCTTCTGTCGCTATCATAGCTTTCTTTGGAAACCCTTTTCCTCTTCGTCCTTTTGTCTTCATTGAACCTATTGTCGTGTGTGGACTCTTTCTTCTTCCTCCTCTTCCTGTCCTCTGATTGGTCGTCATTTTTGTGCTCTCTTTTATGGTCCCTTTCGCTCACGCCTTTGCGCTCCCTCCTGTATTCTTTTCTGTCTTCCCTTTTGTCCCTTGTTGTGATATCCTCCTTAATATCATTCTCGTGCTCTCCACATTCTCCTACTTTGTGTTCCTTCTGTGTGCCCACATCATGATCGTAACTTTGATCCACCAGCGCGTGCTGTTGGTGTCGTTGGTCCTCCTTACCACTTCTACCGGCGCTTCCCGTTCTGCTCCTTGTCCTGCTTCCCCGTTTCCTCTTCCGGATCCTCTTCCTCTCCCTTTCCCGTTCTCGTCTCCGTTGCCTTTTTTCTTTTTTAATTTTCCGGACAACACGGATATATAAATCTGAGTCGATGCCTGTGCTGTTGCTCACGGTCGAGATTGAAATTTCACTTAGCGAATCAGCATGGAGGAAATTTTCTTCGTCCTTTTTCTTGTCCCCCTTGGCATGGCCTTCCGTTGTCGCCTTCACATCGTCCCCATCGTTTGCCTCTTTTTTGTATACATCCAAGGGGTTATTCAACAGGTTCTTGTCCTTCATTTTGTGCATGTGTATATATTCTTCCTTTCCCCGAATGGTAAGATCATTTCGCAGGTAGAACAAAAAAGTGTACGCATGATACGGGCGCAGTTGAAGCAAGCAGGCATTTCTCGCTTACACTTCGGTTTCTGCCCCCGTTCGTTATGCCTTCCGTTCCCTTCACCTTGGGTTCGGTTCGTTGTTCAGGCACTTCCTTTTCGCTTAAATGTACCTCCCTACTTTTGCCTTTTTTTTTTTCACTTTTTAAATGTCGTTGCTAGACAGTACAAATTGGTGCTAACGCTAATACTGCTCACATTTATGCTCTTTCACGAGTGACATTTTGCGCCGAGTTGAAGTGTCGGTAGGGTGTATTCCACATTTTGTGTTAATTCATTCTTTGGCCTTTTCTATACATTTTTTTTTTTATCATTTTCTTTTTTTGCGCCAGACGATATGCTTAAAAGATTGTTTTTCTTAACGGTAGAATTGGGGAAGCAAAAGTTTCGGTGGGGGGAAAAAAGCACATGAGAGAAGTTCGCCGCCAAGTGCAAATTGCAAATTGCCAACTGTTGAACGTGTGGAAAAAAAAAAAAAAATGGGGGGAAGAACTGAAAAGTTGCAGCACCTGCACTGTTCCGTTTTTCCTTGAATAATTTTCGCGCTTCTCTACTTGTTCCTCTTACCATTGTATATACATATATATATTTTTTTTTACTCGCTATGTTGGTCACGCGTACAGTTTTGCTTGCACCCGGAGGAATACGTTGAGGAGTGAATATTGATTGACACAAAAAGTAGGGCAGCTTGAAAAAACAGGCCAAGGGGCATGTCACGTTATTAACATTCAAAAAAAAACAAAAACAAAAAAAAAAATAAAAACAACACCCGTGAGTAACTTCGTGTACACCTATTTGTGTACACATGTGGGGAACCCCAAACGAGCAGAATCTTTCACTGCTTAATTTTTGAAGTGGGCACAGCTAATAAAGCCACCCATCGCCACCGATCAACGAACATGTACAAAGCATATAAAGGCACATGTAGCGCTCGGTGATAACCGTAATAACATGCACTACACTTATAGCGCCATGTGCGGGTAAATAGGGGGGGACACAATGACGTTGCACCCTTCACACTTAGGCTAAACGTAGACATGCGCCCCGGTGAAGAAAATAAAGGTAGCATCGCCACTTCTTTTTTGCGTCAGAGTTTTTTTGCGAACTCCTGTAGGTGATGCTTTATGGAATCCATATTTTTTAACAAGGACTCAAATTCGGATCTGTTGAAAAAAAGGATATTCTTGTTTTTGCAGCATATGCATAGATTCGGCTCCACTTCCTTCACTCCTTTTACTCGGTTGAGGACAAACATGGTACGTCCATACAGGCCCAGCTATCCAAGAGGGTGCGTCATGTTGGGGAGAAAAAATGGGGTGTCAACATGGTGAATTGAAAGAGTAGGGTAAGGCGGCTCCCCACACCATGGTTACCCCGCGTGGGTGAAGCTGCGTCTCCATCTCATATATAATGCATTACGGGGGGAAATACAAAAAAGAAGACACATTGGCTGATGGGGTATTCGTATCAGCGTAGGACAACGTGCCATGTCTACCCAGCGCCTTCACTCCACTGCTCGTGTATTCTTTGCCAATTTTACGGTACTTTCCGCTTGGCACTTTTTTTTTTTTTTTTTTTTTTCGTTGCACGCTCACGGTCACCTTACCTTCTCATCTTGGGTAATTTTTATCCTGTTTCTCGGGGGCCATCCAGAGTAAAAATGATACCCTTTTCTCTTCGTTTCCTTTTGAACTATATCCCTAAATCTTTTTAGTGCACTCTTAAGAGTGCTTTTCTCCTTCACATATTTTAACGCTTCGTAATTATTATAGACATCGGTTGTGATTCCATTTCCGCGGCTTTGAGCTGTGCTTCCCACATTTTGCTCCTTTGTGGAGGTGAAGAATTTCCTTTTCGAAAATCCTGATAAAGCAGAATGGCAACACATACGGGACGGACGTGAATAAAAACTATGCATAGTGATCAAACTATTGTGTGACTTGGCCCATTCACATATCTTTTTGTTCCGTGAAGGGGACAATGAGTAAAGGGTATATTTTCCTCCCTCTTTTTTTGTATTTACGCATTACGTGTAACTGTCCGAGATAGGAAATGAGGAGGAAACATCTTCGCGCCTTTTTGCGAGGTGAGTTGTTTCTGAGGGAATAGGCGCGGTGTTCATGTGGTGTTCCCAATGCGAAGAAGTGTGCTAGCCCCTGGGGGTTGGCAACTATATCGCGGACGAGCGCTTCGATTTCGAGTGGGTACACTTCCACACCTCTTCGCGGCATAAGAAAGGGAAGAAGGAAACCAAGAGTGCACCATTGGGGGAGCTAAAAAAAGGAAGCAACATTGGAAGTTATAGGTCCTCCCTTTCTAAGATGTGAATTTATTTGCCGAAGGGAAGGCGCATTTTTTGTTAAGCTCATTTGTTTGTCTCCCACAAGCGGCCACACTGTTGACCATTACGTTACCATCATTTTGGTATTTGTTCTTTTTTTTTTTTTCCAGTGAAATATCTGCTCCTGTGCAGTTTCGTATTCTATTTTTTGTTTCTTCAAAGTGTTAACGAAAAAAAAAAAAAAAAAAAAAGGTTTATAATATTGCGGGATTTTTCTCCCTGTTACGATACTGTGAAGCAGCTTCCACATTAAGGGGAATAATTTTACCCATTTTGGAGTTTAAACAAATCACGTTTTTATTGTTAAAAGGGATGAGGAGGAAGAAATCAAATTTTAAAAAAAACGCAAACGACGTGTACACGCACACAGTATTTTATAAACATTTTTTTTGCAACGTTGTAAAAATGTAAGCTATAAGGAATAGTTATATCAAACAAGTGTGTGTAAAGGCTCAGTGGGAGGGGGGAAAAAAAAAAAAGATACAAAAAAAAAGAAAAAAAGAACAAACAAATTTAACAAGGGGGAAAATTCCTTTTTTAAAAAAAAAAAAAATGTTATTATAACATTTCGTAATTTTCTTCCCTCTCAAATGCGTTTAGATGGTACATATACTCTTTGTTCTCCTCCAGGTTGATGCAAATCTCCGAGGTCGTTCCTTTCAGATCGGTTATGTCCTGCGCAGGGGGGGAGGAATAGACGAGAGACATGAAGAGTGAATGCATGGTTACTTCTGCACATTGCAACACAGCATAATTGCGAGCAATTTGCGGCGCAGTCTTTATTAGCGTTTTTCCCTTTTGGTCAAGTGTACCGCACGCGGTGTGACTCGACTTTCTCCTATCAAGTGAAGAACCCTCACCTGTTCATTCTTCACAACGGTGTTCCTCACCGAGTTGGTAAATTCGTTATCCGCGTGCAGGAACTTCTGAAGGTTCTTTTTTTCGTGCACAAGATTTTTTATATTTTTGTTAATTTTTTGCAGCTGACTGTCTATATTGAAGGAGTTAAAGAAGTCCAAAATTTCCATCAACTTGAATTTACTAAATTCATACTTATTAGAAAAAAAAACAGAATTATTTTTTAACATAAAAAGTTTGTCCAATATGTCCAATCGAAATAGCAGTCTCTGAATAATACGTTGTGCTTTGGTTTTTATTTCGAGGAAATTATTTTTTATGATATACAAAATGAATAAAAGATTTTCATTATTTTTCTTAATATGTAATTTTCTTTTTTTAAGAATCTTTATATTTTTTTCCTGATCACTTAAGGCCATTTTCACTTTATCCAAGGTGTAAATTGGTACAATGCATAAATTATTTTTATCGGGATTTTTTTCCATTGCCTTGGCGTATTTACTTAATATTTCCTTCGAAATTAAATACTCATGTTTGTATATATGGTTGTTCCATATTAAATTACAAAAGGAGCTTAGCAGCAGTGAGTTAATCACTCTGTTCTTCGACTCGCTCATTTCATCCTTCAGGTAAATGAAGTTCATCATGTACGGGTTTCTGTCAAACACGTACGTTTCAAGGTACGACTTGCACATGAATATTGTGCCAAGCTTCATCGAGATCTCCTCTAAGTGTGTGTATGTGTGGGGGTGCGTACGTGCATGTTAAAGGGGGGATTATACAAACACAGTGGGTGGAAAGTATGCAACACACATGGAAACAAATGGACATCGCTCCTCTCTCATTATTTACCACAAAGCTGCTCCGTCAGGGACTTCCTAATCTTTAGCGAACTGTTAAAATTGAATTTATTTTCAAAGCTAAAATTTCCACTTTGGCGCTCAATTTTTGAATTGTTCTTTTCGGTGTTTTCCTTTAATTCGTCGACCTTCCCGCTGTTACTGTTGCTGACTTGATTGTTACTGGCACTGTTGGTATTCTGATTTGGGTTGGCATTACTGGGGGGATCCACTTTGGCAAAATTGTCTACCTTGTTTTGGCCTGGAATCAGGTCCTTGTTTAACACACCTAGGAACCCGCTTTGAGTCGATGTGCTTCCACTTGTGAATACGTTTGTTTTGTTACTGAAATTGTTAGCCGCACTGGGTGCGTTATTAAAAGTGCTGCTCAACCCAGCAGCCCTGTCATTTTGTATATTATTTGAAGAAACGGTTGGAGGGTGTAATCCCACAGGGTTATTTAACGGGTTGCTCACATTTGAATTACTTACATTGTTAGGGGTATTAAAAGCGCTAAATGTATTCATCTTTTTTGCTTTTTTTTTTATTACATAACTACGTGTGATGTGTTCTTTTTTTTGAGGGGGAGGCGATGCTTCGATTTGTTCCTCTATCACACACGAAAAATATACGTACCAGCGTACTGGGGGGGATATATAAGGGCGGAAACGAATATATATATATATATATGTCCGTTTTTCCTCCTTCGCAGAAGCTGTTCTCCCCTTTTAATTTTTCAAAATTAGGAGGTCATATTTCCCACGCATCGTCTAATACTCGTGCAAGCAGACTGCGCATGGACGTTTGCTTTCCCCCGGGTGCATATATACATGCGCATTTATGTGCGCGTTCATGAAAGAAATGAAAGGGCGTTGTCCCCGCGGTTTCACACAATCCCATCCTATTTCAGAGGGACTTGCTAATAAGTGGGGCGAATGAACAGGAATGGAAGCATCTCCTCAGCTCATGGAAGGGCGGACGCAGGCTACTTAAACAAAAATGAAAATAAAAAAAAAGGCTAAGCTATAAAACGAAGGGAATCTTGCATAAACGATGACATATTAAACGCAGACGCACGTACGTGTATGTAAAATATGCCTCTCGTATATTTTATTTCTGTATACCCTTCTTTTTGATTAATGAGAAAATTTCCACCCCATTTTTGACAAAAAAAAAAAAAAAAAAAATGTTCACAAGGTCTTCTTTGTGAGAGATGTATATATCTTATTCTTGTAAAAAATATGAACAAAAAAAAAATGAAATCGCAACTTTGCAGAAAATAAAAAAAATTATTAAGCAAAAAAAAAAAAGAAGCTGCGCAGATGAGGTTAATTTTGTTAATTTCATGTTTACTATAATTTCATTACGTGGAATGAGGAAAGGGAAATGCTTAATATAAATAGTACGCATATAGTATGCATGCACGTATATGTATGCATTTTTTTTTTTCCTCTGGAAGGAAAATCATCGCATAATGTAACAAACCGCCGCGCATGTCGCAGCCCTTGACTAAAGTACTGGTACCCGGTGAGGCTTAACTAAGAGCTGCGACTCTGTTGTGTTAAGATATACACCCTAGCGTATGTGTTGCCACTAAGGAGGTAGGCGCATACACAAAGGGAAAAAAAAAAAAAAAAAGTTATATATGGTTACATACAGTTGTATGTAGCCGTATGCACACACGTAACGAATTATACAAAGATGAGAATTAACCCCCCAATTTTTGTGAATGGGGATGGGAGGCCTCCTGAACGTACGATGTGGAAAAATCCGATTGACCATACCTCTTAAGAGAGGCTTAAATACCCCAACGAGTGAAAATTTACCAAAATGATTTTGTTTCAGCGCGTCGCAATTAAAAGTATGTCGGCGGGCGTAAACAGAAAAGAAACGAAATCTTTCTGCCAGTTTGAGAATTTTTTATTTTTTTTTCTTTATCGTGCATATGTAGGGTTACATTTCACAAATGAACATGCGGGATGAGTTCTTCAGCACATGTGTGTCTGCCAAGAATTATTCCACTGTATGGCGCAAACGGGACTTCTATATGAGACACATCGAAAATCACGTTGTTCCGCGTAAGTGGGGAATTTCTAATTCGCCTGAATTTTTTATGTAGAATGGGATATTTCTTTTACTTTCCAAAAACACCACTTAGTTATTATGGTGTGTGTCGAATAATGTTTTTTTTTTTTTTTTTTCTCCGCCCACCTGAGCCTACGCAATTGCGTGAAGTAAAAAAGAAATTAATTCGTTCGATGAGGTGATGAGGAAATTATTCTCTACCTTGAAAGGTGCAAATTTTTGCATACATAAAAAGGAAAAAAAAAAAAAAACAGGTGAGGCCAATAACAAATGAACAAAGCTGTTTACAGAGGTGTATTACACACCGTTGCTTCGGAGTGTAACGAATCTTGTGGTGACCTTCCCCATTCTTGCCATTTTACTTTTTTGGAAAACGCATTAACCAAGCCGATGCATGTCCACGCGCAACTCCAACAAATGGAAAAATGAGAAAGACGCAAAGGTTGGGTACATATATTGGTTAGCAGCAAAATGACAGAATGGGAAAAAATTCAAACCAATAATGTGCCACACGGGAAAACCGCAATTGGACCCATGTTATTGTCTTTTTTGTTTTTTTGAAAAATGTTACATAAAAAAGCCTTTCCCGTAAGATTGTAGGAGGGAGAAAATGTTCATAAAAGGGAGTGAATCTCAAATTTTTTTTTTTTTATTATTCATTGTTGTTTTTTGGTGAGCTAGCCAAAATGCTTTTATTGGGGAGTCTTTTTTCACGTTATCATTTTTTTTATTTTTTCCCCTTTTGCGGCATTACAGAAAGATAATTGCATGCAATAAAGGAATGCATTTAAAATGGCGTAGCTGTTTTTGTGAAGCCCGAGGGGAGGCGTACATATGTTGAGAGACTTTTCCCCTCCTTGTCATTTTTTTTTTTTTTTCCCTCCCTCGGCTTTGTTTTGTGTGTTGTATACGTGTAAGTTTTCTTCCTGTCTCTGCAGAGATCACCCAGTTGTGCAGGCCTGTTCGGGTAAAAGTTTCACGCGGCTGATTTGATCCTTCACATTTGGCACTTCACGGTTCGTGTAATTTTATTTTTTTTTATTTTTACATGTACGCGTGGAATGCGCGTTTGTCGTTTTTTTGAACAAAGCATGCATGTGATTAAATCTGTTTCTCGTCCGTACGCGTCATTTTACCAGCAGCAAAATTGTATGTGCGCGAGAGCATATTCCATTTGTAAGCTTACATACATATTTATACCCTTGTTTGTACACATAAGTTTATACTTGTTCACGCATTTGTTGCAAATTTTGATCAAAAGGAAGGTTCATATGAAGCTTAGTTACCATTTTACAACTGTCTGATTCTGTTTTTGTCTTGTTACATCTCATGTTTCATCTCAAATGATTGACCCTTTTTTCTTATTTTAACATGATTATATGAGAAGAGGAAGAACAACAACAACAACAACAACAACAAAAAAATAATTAAAAGCTCAATTTATGTAAGCTTTTTTTTTTCCCCCTTTTTTAAACATGTAACTGTTGTGTTTTTATCAACTTGTTCCCTTTTTTTTTTTAAAAAAAAACCCTTTTTTACTTCTTTCCTTTTTTTTTTTTTTTTTTTTTTTTGTATATATATAATTTGTAAAAAGAAATATATTTGTCTTTGCTTGTCTTTATTTACATGTTTTTTTTTTTTTTTCTCTTAAAAAATAAATGTGGAAATGTTAACATGTTATAACACAACGTTAATTTAAGTGAATATCCAATTTAACTTAAATC